TCTTATTTTAATTTTTTTTTACCGATCAAATAAGTTAGTTTTTAGCTTAAATTTGCTCGCTATGTTTAAAAAAAAATGTAAAATTACTACAATAAAAGTTAGTAATATCATTTTTTATATTTTAGAAAATTATAAGAGAGGATGCAAAAAACTTAAGATGTTTTAAAATTAAAATGAAAAAATATTTAATCAAAATCAAATGATAAATAAAATATAATGTAAACTTCACTTAAATTATGATTGTAATTGAATATCTCAATATTTTTAATAATAAGATATTTTGATTTTTACTTTTTCTTATTGTAAAATAAAAAATCAATGAAAGGAAAAGATTTAGAATGGATTTGTCTTTAAAATAAATACTAGTTTTCTCTACTTCATAATACACATACATGTAAGATCATATAGGATATGTGTGTCTGAATTATAAACACACAACCTTGGTAGTCCTGACCAAAAGGAAAGAACTTAGCGCTTAGTTGCTGCCCGGAGTGAGATAATGAGTAAAACCTCCAAGATAAATAAAATTATACATTGACTTAGAAATTAAAGGGGACATCTACAAGGTTGAATTCCCCATGTTTTTTCTGCATAATCTTCAATTGTCTTATCACTGCTAAATCTGCCGGATCCAGCAGTACTAAGGATGCTCATTCGGGTCCACTTCTCTTGATCAACAAATACTTTATCAGCAGCAGCCTGTAGTTTTACAATGTGAAATGGTTAACTCTTGGGAGCAGCATTTGTAAAGTTATACAGCACTAACTTGCTAAATATGGGAGGTGCCAGCAACAAGATTTACCTGTGCCTCTAAATAGCTTCCAAAATCAGCACCAAGGAGATAATGGTCACGACCCTCTATGGTGTCACACAATGATTTAAAGTAGTCTTCATAGCCAAAATGACCTTCCCTGATCATCCTACCTCAATGAGGCAGGAGCTCAAAGTGAGTAATGGAAATATGAACTTATCTAAAACATCCTTTTGCACAGCATAACAGGACATGAATGCATGAATCTGCACTCTGTGAGCATATAAATTACAAAATATGTGTAATACAGATGCTATTTCCACCAATCAGCCATATTTGAGATAATGGCAAAACCCATGATTATAATGACTCAGATTTTAGTAGAGAGAAGGTCCTGCATTGGATGAATTGAAGGACATCAAAAGCTTAACAATGTTTATCCTGATCATGCTTGTCACTACATTTTCATCCCTTATAAAATACATAATTATTGCATTCATAGCCACCAGAAATCACCATACCATTTAAAAATACTGCCAGATCTACTTTTCAAATTCCATGGAAATTAGAATTATTCCTAAGCAAGATCTGTTATCACTGAAATTTTGACAATCATAATAAGAAATTGCAAGTGACATTCTTGTATTAGTTACATCACAATTGTCCTTCCAAACATGCTCATAGGTATTAAGAATTTTTATGCTGTATTAAATTGAAACATTGGGATTTAAATAATTAATAACACTGTAATTACCAACAAGAGGGTGCTGTTTCATAATGAGGAGATTGGATTGCATACCTTACAACACGTGAAAATTGCAGAGGAACTTTAAGAGAAGGTCCTTCCTCCCGCAATGCAGGGACTTCATGCAGTTTTGCACCAAATAGAAACTGAAAGAAAACCTTATGAGGAATCCATGTCCATCCCACTAAAAATCTTGATGCATAGATTGATAAATACATCAGCACTTTCATTACTTCCATAAAGACCAATTACAACACATAAATTCCCTAAGGGGACCTAGGCAGCATAAACAAAAGAAGGGGTACACAGATGAAATTGCGAAAAGAATTCCTGGAATCCTGAAAAAGCATGCATCAGGGCTCAACCTGAAAAAGCATGAAATCACATCCATTTGTATCATTATTCTGCCAATCTGGAAATGAAAATGTGTACTTCTAGTGCTTAAGTCTTAGGACTCAGATATAGTGGAAGGATGATTGTTGGGCTAATGAGAATGTGCTAGCACCTTTTAATCCCCTAGAAAAACAAATTTATTCAAGGTCTAAAATTTCCAACTTAATTTAGAAAACCTGCAGCTCTGCTAAATACAAAGTAGAGCCATGTGCATATCTACACTTGATTACCATATTGGTGTCAACTTGATTTAGATGAGCATAATACCTCTGCATAAAGATAACATTATATGGAAGAGAACAATATACAATCACATGACACCTGCTTCTTGGATCTTAACTCTTAAGGTTTCAGAGGCAACTCAGACAAAGCAATACTAGCTCCCGACATCAAAGTTAGTTTAGTTAGCAT